TCTGGCCCTAGTACGGATTCGTGAGTTTCCTAAGTCATATGAAGTGCACAGTAGGTAGTACCTTGTGGGTCGTAATGACCCAGAATAACTTATACACGTGCGCACTAGGTAGTACCTTGCAGGCTAGTAACCTGGAATAACTTGATTGGTCTGCAGCCAAGGATCCTAGTCTTTCCACTATTTGATTTCGCATTTAATTTCAAATTGTTAATCATGGATTACTTGTAGCTTGAGAATTAATACTTGCTTTGGATATTTAAATCTTATTTAGTATACTTGAAACTATATACTTGTTTTGTGCATTTAGATCTCATTTAGTGTACTTGAACTTGTATGCTTGCTCTGTGAGTTTAGATTTCATTTAGTATGCTTGTGCCGTGTATACTTGTCTTAGGCGTATCTCTCTTAGCTTAGTATACTTGTGTCGGTATACTTGATTTACGAGATTTTCATATAAAATACATACTTGTGTAAATATACTTAGATATTGCATGACTTGTCTTAATGTGGTTTAGTATACTTGGAAATGTATACTTGTATGTTGTATAACGTGTTTAATATTGTTTAGTATACTTGAGCATGTATACTTGTATACCGTTGTTCACTTTAAATTGCATGAGTAGCTTAGGATGCTTCCTGAATCTCATTTTGATATAGACGTTAGGTGGTATGAGCCCCTTTGACATGTTTCACCTTAAGGTGATATAATTGTAAAATGCTAGGTCAATGCATGCTCATCTCCTACGAGTAACTTTATATTACTCACCCATGTAGTGCGGACATATTTCAGGTACCGGGATCAAGATTTGAGATTCACATCATGCTTGGATGATTTGTAGACTTGAAATTCTCATTTCATGTAAATATTGGCTTGAAATGCCATTTATAACTTTATATGTCAAAATGTGTAAATTTGATTCTATTTTTATAATGTGTACATAAGTACACTCTTTATAATGTATTTGACATGTATGAGATGAGGCCATAGGCCAATGACATGTATCTTGTATTCTATGCAACTTTAACTTCATGAAATATTATGAAAATATTGAAAAAATGCTACGTCATTCCTTCATAACTTTTGCATCAAGTGTGGGAATTCCATTTTTATTCTTTCATAGGGTCTTATAAATCATGTTTGAAGTGCTGTCAAGGGCTAAACGGTAAATTGAAATCATTTGATAATTTTGGTTTTCAAATTTCCCTTTTCTTGTTCATTTTTGCCTTTTTGCCCGTTGGGGGGTCGGATTTTGTAGCGGTGGTGTTTTTAAGCCATGGACCATTGTAGTGCGTCCAAATAGGTAAGTTACGTTTGCGTGCATGGTCGTTTCCGGGCAAACCTTCTTCTTTGGTGAAATGAGTCTCCTATGGACTCATTTTGAAATTTTGTTGTATAATCTGATCTAGGGTCATTCTAGACCTTTCACATCTGTTTTAATTTCTTCTTTTGACATGGTCGAATAGAAAATGTGATTTTAGGGGGGGTTTCTTCTTCGTGTTTTTCCAGAAAATGTCGTCTTGGTACCGGAAATCCCTCGTGAAGTTTCAGCTTCCAGTTTGCATTTTAGTAGCTTTTTGCCTCTCTTGACCAGTTCTGATCTAGGGGTATTTTGGGCATTTTACAATGAGTTTTTTTTTAATTCTCTTGCGAGTCACGTAGAAAACTCGATTTTATGGGGGGTTTTTTCTTCGTGTTTTTCTAGAAAAAATCGTCTTGACCTCCGTTTCAAGCCTCAGTTCTGGACACTCATTTTTTTTTCTTTTCTTTCTGTCAACATGTGCATGCCATTGGACGCCGACATGGGCGCTGGCATGGGCGCCAGGCGCGCATGGGGCATGTCATGGCCTTCATCGGGCCGCCGCGATGTCAAAACTTCAAATACTCGTTTCTCCCTCATCCGGACTCCAAATCGAGTGAACTTTTTTTTGAACTTGATTAATTTTTCACTGTCTTTCTAACGGTGTGCTCGGTTATACTCAGATCTTCCTGGATAATTACTAGTTTACCCTTTTAGCCTTAAGTGCTCGTTTTTCTTCATCATGCCGTTTCTCCTTCGTCCGGACTCCGAATCATACGATTCTTGAGTCCATCTTGATTAGTTTTTCGTTGTCCTTCCAGCGGTGTGCTCGGTGGCACTCGAGTCCACAGTTTTCAGAAATAACTATTTTGCCCTTGAGGGCTTATTTGTCATATTTTTGGTCTTTTGCTTCCGCATCAGTTCTCATTGAGTTCCACGACCTCATGGAAGGTCACTTTGACTTCTTCGAGTCTTGTTTTCTGTTTTCGCTTCCGCACTTCGGATCCGTTATCGGGTTAAACTACGGTTCATCACAAGACGCACTGGCTTAAAAAACCAGGGCCGTCACAAGATGTGTCAATGTGTGTGTGTATATATATATGTATATACCTTGTGAAATCTTACATTATAATAAACTAATCAATGTTCTAAGTTGTTTTAATCATGTATAATTGCTTTATAATAATTACTGGAATCAATTAGGACTTAGATGCATGAATTAGGACCCGAAACGAGGAATTTCAGACTTTGAAACAAACCTGTGAATTAGTGATGCGAACCAGTGCTCAAGCACTGTAGTTAGTGGTTGAGCACTATCTGTTTTCGGAACCAGTGCTCAAACAGTGTTGGATAGTGCTCGAGCAATGTACTGTGCTTCAGGATAATAAAGAGTATGCTCAAGCACTGGGGACCAGAATTTCCCAAAATGGCTCCAAATGATTCCGAATTGATTTTATTTAGCCCTAAACGTGTATTAAGGCGTCGGGAGCAGTGTTGTATGATTTAATTGCATAAAATTTGTATTAAACTCATATACTTCGTGACTTGATGGAAAAGATTAAATTAACTAATAAGTTAAATAAATCTTTATGATATTTAAATTGTAAAATTAAATGCATTAACTTAATTTATGATTTTAATCTTAATTGTTGAAGTATTTATGATCTACAGACATAATCTATGGCTAGATTATACGTTGTATTATGGATAAACATAGTTTGGATGACCACAAATAGAGAAAGTATTAAATCAATTAATAAATTATTTATTATTCTTTTATGATACTTAAATTACAATAATTAATGCATTAATTTAGTTTATGTTATAATCATATATATTGATGTGTTAGTGATCTAAATTATGATCATTAACTGTATATGCTTGTTGAACCATTGATAGAGATGAAATTGATAGGACTTATGTATGCATGCATGTATGGTGGAACCACGTGAGCTGGCTAATAAGTTTAAGACTCACTTGTACCTTTTGGATTTATTACCATATGCATGATTCGTCTCTGTCGGGGTATGTGGTTCAATGTTCAGGGATTCATTGTTGAGCATTTATTAGTTATGCGAGAATGTTAATGATGGGATCATTGAGATATCTAATAAGGTAGGCTCCTTGATATTTTATGCCATTATTAGATATGGCTTTGACATTTGATGAGTAGATGGGCTGACTAATAAGTCAAGACACGCTATATTGTGCCATTGTTAGACATGGTTTTGATTGATGATATTATTATATATTTATATAAGAGCCCTGATACGAGATTAAGGTCTTGGGATCAATGGTTAGGATTGGGGTATTTATTGCCGGAGATAGGTAGCTGAATATAAGAGATGTGTGGCTCTGGTAGAGGGGGATTCTTGACCACATTGTGTGTGATTTTTCATGAGATACCCACTATCTAGTTGAGATTGCCCTATATTTCAGTGAGAGTCTTAGTGTGTATATGTATGTACTGATTATGTGGATATTGCATGAGTTTGGTTAGGGATGTATCGCTTATCGATTCTCTGATTGGGTTGTAGTAGAAATGACTTGTTCTTGGGTTTTGACTCACCTTTGTTATATTTTTCAGGTGTTTATCAGTTTCAGTCTTACAGGTTGTTCATGCAGATCAGAGAGCATTCATCTTCACTCTTCCTTAGATATTGACGTAGGATACTATCTTGTATAGTTTACCTAGTACGATTGGTATCTTTATATTTCAGTTATGAGTTTTGATTAGGGGTCCATGATACGGATTCTCGAGTTGTATTATAGAGGTTTATTTTTTATGGGGATTTATTGGAGTATTGGTATCAAAGGAATTAAGGATTTATTATTTATCATTTTAGTTTTCCATTCAACAAATAATCATCTATTCTTATTTCACATTTTATTCTATGCTTGTTTTAAATATTAATTGTTTGATATTCCCCGATTTTTGGATGTGAGCCTCGCTAACTTACACGTGAAAATTTGGAAGTATCACATCACCAACGTTGAAAAAATCTGAAGAGACTGGTGAGGGAGAGTGACGGTGTTAGAGATGATTCCAGAGAAAGAATCGTGGAAAGAAAGTAAATATTTTTATTTATTTATTTTTTTTACCATACATAGTTGGGATGCTTCGTTTCACTCTTAAATTGCCTTTTTAAAAAACATACTTTAAACGGCGTAGTTTGCTGTACAACACTGGTATAACGCAGACCTATTTACAAAAAATCATTACCACTCTACACTCTAATCAAAATACCATCCATAAAATCATTCCGCCTAATATATCCATCCATAAAAGAATAATGATTTTTGGACTGTAGTTACCGAATTTAGACTTATGTAAATGTAATGATAATCAACGCCATATGATGTCACAATAATATCATATTTATGTAAATGTAATGATAATCTCCACCATCTATGTCATGGTAATCTTCACCATATAATGTCACAATAATATCATATGATACCCGCGTTTCTGAGGAACTGGGTTCCTAAATCACTGCTCATCCATAAAATCATACATATGATCCAACCAATATTATGTCAACGTTACTTCTCATCACGCCGTTTGTGCCTCATGTTCATTACCACTACAGCCGTTTATTCTCGTCCCTTCTGTTGTATTCATACGGTGAAAAATCTAAACGACATACCACATAATGCAATTTTCAGGATCCAAATTTACCGAACATCCACAACAAACAAGTATAACCAAAAATTTCTCAAATTGGTATCAAATTTCTCAAATTAGTATCAGAACCAACAAAATTGATTTGTTTTGATTTTTTTTTTTTTTGGTTATATTTGTATCAATAAATTTGTTTTTCATTTACAACATTGGCCTATCTGATCATGTTAATGAGAAGAGTATAATTAGGGAGAAACAAAACAAAACCACATCAAATGATTTTGGTTCGTAGGATGAATCAGTAAGGCATAATATGAGTGGTCTTCGTGTCATAACTCGCCAAACACGATTTTGAGTTAACTCGGAACACCTTAACCAGGTCTCCACACATCTGCCTCACGCTCGCTGAACAATTGCTCTGCATCACAACCAAAACTTTTGTCGGACCGTTGATTTTCATCACCGCCTCCTGCGCCGTCCGATCGCGGGACAGATAGCATACGCTCCAGAGCACCACAATCCCGTGCTCCGTTGCCGCAGTCGATGCCTTCATCAGTCTATGCACGATCGCCGGCACGCATGTCTCGTCGTCGCAGATCGCCGTCCGGCCTTCCGTACACGTCGACAGTATCTCCAACAGTTTCAGTGCCTTCTCGATCACCGGAACAACCGTGTCGGAGCCGGAGAGGATTCTCCCTACGGTTCGTACAATTCCGAACCGGACGAGTTCTTTCTTGACTGGTCTCGAGGTTGACACGGCGATTAGGACCGATAGACCGGCTTCGATCACCGTCCGGTCGGTCTCCGAGCTGATCAAACGGTACAGTTCGTTTAGTAATCCCTGATTTTCGGCGATTGAACGTTGCGATTCCGCATCGAATGCGATTGATTCCAAAACCCTAGCGGATTCGATCTTCGACCTCAAATTGCCGTTTTGAAGAGTCGAAACGAATTGCGACAAACTATTTTGATTGCTCTTGAGAATCAGTCTTTTCAGCTGTTCTTTCACTCCATCCTCAGACAAAATCAAATCCAGAACGGTTATTATTGATTCTCTAACCTCAATTTCATTGGCATTGCTGAGAACTCCGATCATAGTCGGTAAAAATCCATCCATCGTTGCCAGAAACTTGCGATTTTCGTCGGAGTACTTAGCGAAGCCAATGATTTTGCGGAGAGAAATCAAGCGATCATCGGCATGGTTGTCGATGTTTCTAATCGACTGAAATACTTCTTGCTTTGAGATTGGAGGAGGTAGTTTGAATGAGGGGTCAGACTCCGGCGGCTGATCGGACCAGAGGTGGATGAGGCGGCGGAGGGTGAGGTTGGGGACGAAGTCGGTGGTGTCGAGGACCTGCATGGTGGCGGGACAGGTGTTGTGGCCGGAGTCGAGCCAGGTCTGGATGCTGGTACGGTCGTAGGTGACGCCGGTGCAGAGGCTCACCGGTGACCTCATCACGTCCATCGAGATCGGGCATTTGAAGAAGCTCGGCACGGTCACAAACAGCTGGTTCTTGTCCATCACCATAACTCTCTTTAACTGGGTTTGGGTTTATCTTTCTGAAGACAGAAAATGTAGAGAGAAAGAATTGGGAGTCGGGTTGTGACTTGTACTTGTGACTTGGGGGAGCTTAGGACCATGGGGGTTTTTAAATAGGGGAAGAGGAAAGAGTCAGAGGTGAGTTTGGTCAACGATTGGGTTTCTAAATCAGTGTTTGGTCACGTTATTAAGTAAATACCTCAGTGGGAGTGATTTTGTGTATTAATTACAGATAAGTTCAAACGTGGAACAAGCGGGTCATCATGAGCGTGCGCGTCAAACCTTTTTGTGGTCGTGTGGTGGGTCCCATATTGGGTTTAATTCAACCTTTCACATTTATTGCTAAAACAAAATTTATTTATATGCATATTCACATGGTAAATATGAATCAAACAATTTTAACAATTTTTTGAAAATTTAAAACTGAAATGTAATCACATGGATAGAACAGCTTACTTAAAAACATATCCTAATCTTAACTGGTGTTGTTTCATAAAATTTTCAAATTAAGTATTGAAAAATTTTAAAAGTTAAAATTTTAAATGTTGAAGTTTTAAGTGATAATTAATAAATAAATATTTATATATATATATATATATATATTTAAATTTTCAGCATTTGAGTAAGTGATATTTCTATCATTTAAAATTTTATTTCGTTTTAAGGAATGAAGTGTAAAAAAAAATCATATAATTTGAAAAGCATACAAATAACACCCTTTATATTCAAATTCCACCCGTATAATATAAAAAGTAAGTAAATAAGGGTTTTTGACTATAAAAAGTGACATGTGGGAATCATGTGACAAAAAAAAGGCCTTTTAATACCAACACTATCCTTTTGGACTTTCCAAATTGTCCCTCATTCATTTCTATTATATATATATATATATATATATATATATATATTTTCTCTCTATAATTTATATATATATATATATATATTTTTTTTTTCTCTCTATAATTTATTTTGTATATATATTTTTACTTCTCATTCTCCGTCTCTCTCTAACGGTTCTCTATTGCATATATAAATTATATTTCTTTAGTATTAATAATAATAAATAATAAATAAATTAAATTTATCTTTTTTTAGAATTTCTACTTATATCCTAATGTGTATCAAGACTCTCTGCATCTTCAATCAAACTATTAAGAGTAGAAAAAGAGAAACTATGGCATGCTTGATTTGTAATTCTGAAAACAATTTTTTGTTTTTAGAAATTGAGAATAAAAAACTGTACAAAAATTTTTGTTTCGTTCAATTTTCTAAAAACTGTTTTCTAAAAACTAAGTTATAAAAATATCTATTTTCTAATAATTGTGAGTTATAAATCAAGTAAATTACATATATATATATATATATATATATATATATATATATATATATATATTTTATTTCATTTTCATTTTTTTTCCCATTTATTTCATTTTCATCCATTGAAACATACTTAAAAGACAATTTGAAGTTTCCATTCTCGTAGAAGCCCTTTTTGATAATTGCAGACCATGTTCTCATGGTGCACAAAATTTCAGTTTTAAGGGAAGTTAAAAAAAGGGTTGTTATCACCATGGACTCAGCAGGGACAATTGTCCTCACTAAAAATTTTTCTTTCTTTGGAATTATATACTTGCACAATTTTGAGATTGCCCCTATCTAGAATTAAAGAAAAATTCCACTATTGCCCCCTCAATATATATATATATATATATATATATATATATATATATATATATTTTGGGTTAAAAATCGCCCACTCTCACAAACTTGCATGAGTCAATCCCTTATTGTTATGTTAGGTCAGTAGTCACCCACAAAACTATTTCTTTAAAAACAACAATCAATCGGACAACCATTGCACCATACGTAACCTTTGCCTTGCAAACTAACTTCAAAGTGTATCAAGTGCAACGACGCCAAGGCATATCATGAGGAGATTATAAGGTTCAAATTCAATCTAAATCTAATGCACTCCTTTGCCTCTAGATAGGAAGTTCTCGTGTTTCACCTTTTTTTTTTTTCCTTGTAATTTTTGTTATCTAAAGAAAAATGAAGAGATAAAAATGTTCCATCTCATATTTTAGCAATAACTATTCAGAAATAAATAATTATAATATATATGAGAATTTAGTGTAAAAATCAATAATAATAAATAGATAATACTAAATGACAATGATTAATATAAGTACCAAGGGTTGTATGACCCAATGCAGGGTCGGCTATGAGCATAGGCGACTCCTGATCTCAAATTTGAAATGACTTCAAAATTTTAAATTTCCTTATATAAGTTGAATTATAATTATTTCTTAATATTACTTAGAAATTAATTGATATAAAAAAATAAAATTGGATCTCAAAAATTTATATCCTAAAATAATTATTTTTATTTATTTTATCTCATTTCTCTCTCCTCCTCATTTAAAATTTTTAATTAAACTCTAAACAATACAAAAGTATTGGGTTCCAAAGATTTATATGGACTCTGTTTTATTTTCTATCTATCTATTCCTCTCTCCTCCTCATACATAATTTTAATTTTGGTCGCAAAGATTTATATTTTTAAATTATTATTATTATTATTATTATTTTTTTTCATTTGCATTTTTTACAACAACACTAAATTTATTTATTTATTTATTTATTTTTTTGTAAGTTATATAACCGTTGTTTGAAAAAATGGTGAAACTTTTCATATTCTGTTTTCAAGCTTTTATCTATTTATTTATTTATTTATTTTCCCCATATTCCTCACATATTGTCTCCTCTTTCAACAAGTTGTCTCGCTCCTCTCTCATTATAAGTTTATAATACTCTTTTTTCTCCACTCAATACTCATTACGTTCAATTTGAACTCATTTTTATTCTATTAAAAAATTTATAGGAATATTGGATTGGGGTTTCTAAATTAGATTCTATTTCATAAATTTGTATATTTTAAACAACATTAAATACAATAATCTAATTAGTAATTTTGTATTTCACAAAATAAGGAAGATGATTTTTAAATAAATATTATTTAATATTAATATATTATCGAAACACCACTTTATATTTTTCGCCTAAGGTCCCAAATTATTCCGAGTCGCCTTGGTGTTTTCTCATTTTATTGAAAATTTCGTATTCTTAAAATTTTTTTTTTTGAACGAGTGAAACTTTATCCATAAAGGTCTAGTATTTGAAAATTCGCCTAGTGTTTTTCAAAATTTTGAGAATCTCAGGAATGGCCCTGATCTAATGGTATCTTCTTTATCTTTCGAAGTGAATTGTGAAAGTTTAATTTTCAAAGAAATAAAATGAATATATAAATGATGTGTGTAAGTTTGTTATCAGTGAAAAAGAAAATTAATATAAATATTTTTGCGTGACAAATACAACCAAATGAGTCGATGTGCTCTCAAAACTTCAAACAAACCTTAATTTCTGTAATGTGTGCGTGGCTTGGTCAAAACTCCTGATATATATATAATATAAGTGATATAACTGCTCTTATATTTAATAGAGAGTCACGTACACTGCCTTGTGAAGTTGTCAAACTAGTGAGAAGGAAATTAAAATCAACAAACCACTGCGTAGGTGTGTGACTTTGAATGCGTGGGGTGTGTGACTTTGAATATGAGATATGGTATATTACCGGAATGCCAAGAAAATTCAAACACGGATCCTATGTCTACACATAAATGTGTCTGTTGCGTGTGTGGCGCGTCTAAAGTTATGGACTCCGAGTAAGCAATACTCTAAACCTAACAAGGCCTTCGCGTAGTAATCTCCACTGGTCGACAAACAAACAAACACGCGCCCTCACAACATATATATATATATATAATATTATATGTTACTTTTTATTTTTACGAGAAGGGTAAAGTGTAAAAAATTTCTTGAATTTTGTTTGAATTTATAAATAATTTCTTTTAAATTATATTTTGTGCATAAATTTTTTTAAACTATCACATTTTGTTAAAATATATTTCAAGGATTGTACTATATTTCATTAAATAACCATAATGCATGTTCTTATTAAATTACATTTAATATATTTTTTTTATCTAAATAAATTATGAAAAAAATCATACTAATTTGATGAGATATTTTTTATTAAATTTGCATAAATTTACTTTTAATTTTTTAATTAATTATTTAAATAAAAAATTTTATTATAATTTTTTTTAAAATATTAATTAATTTTTTAATTTTTAATGAATATATTACATGAAAAGAAAGTATTTTTTTTCAAAAATATTTTATTAATTTTTCATCAATATATTGTATGAAAAAAGTGATATTTTTTTACTATAAAAATATTTAAATTGGTCATAATATGTTTTATTATAAAGAATAAAGTTTTAATAATAAGTTAATCAATTTAGAAAATGATAGTTACAAATCTTTTTATCTATATATATATATATATATATATATATATATATATATTTATGATAAATTGATACTAAAAATAAAATTAAGGTAAATAATATAATTAATATTTACATAAGAGAGAAGATAATAAAAATAATTTAATAAGAAATACAAATTTTAATGAGAAAAGATAAAATAGTCTTTTGTGAAGAATTTGTCTTAAATTACAGCAAATCGATAGTACATGAGTGATTTTTAATTCAAAAGAATTATTTGCCAAAAAAAAAATAGTTTAGAGAAACTTTTTGCACATGACTGTAAGAATTACAACTATTTCGAGAGCTTATATTAGGCTGTTCCGTACTTGTATGCTCTATCTGACGTCATTGTTATTTCGTAGTCAATGTGCTTGGAATTTCACAACCCCATGCATAACATAGACAATCAGTAGACTTATTATTTATTTTGAGTCATAGTTTCATAAACTCCGAAAGATGTCCTTTCTTTACTATTTCTCTACTTGTTTTGGTAGAAAAATGATTGTTTGCACACTTTTTTTTCAATCATATAGTATATCACACAATTAAATTAGAGCGATACATAATTTTTGTGACACTTTTGAAATATTTTTCTTGTATCTAATAAAATCAACCACTTCATTGATTAAGGGTGTGAAAATTTTATTTACACAGTAGTATTTTAGTTGGTGTTGTTTTCCTAATTTATTTTAGGACAAAGTGGGAAAAACAC